GTTAGGTCCATCAGAAGCTGAGGGAGAGCAGTGGTGGCCTCTGTCTTTGGCTGTTCCTTTCATTGTAACCACCGGCACATTGGTAAACTGGCAGGCTCTGGTGTCAGTCATACGGCTGCTCATTAAATGATTAATTTGGACAGACTGGACCTGGCCAGGGATGGACCTGGGAGCACACTGTAGAGGTTCTATGGTTGGGAACTCCCAGATTTCACTTGGAGAAAGTTGCAGCCGACTCTAAAAATCACGTGGCGCTGACCTTCTCCTCTCTGAAAGCCACGGGGGTTTTACTGCCGACTTTGCAGAAGCCAGTGTCGGTCCTCTTGATGCAATGCAGCAAAACATCTGGGAGGTATTAACCTTTAATAGGCTATATGTAATAATGCGGAATATGACTATCGCCTCATAATACGCGCATGTAAAATCTGAGGGGCGCCTGCTTGTAAAAGCTGCCAAAAAAAGATCTCTGAGCCAGCGGATTACAAATGTGTTCTCTTGTAGTCTGGAAGAATCCTCATTTAAAAAACAAAACCCCAGCAAACTTGCTGGTCTGGGCCCAGTCCATGCGTGGGGGGTGGCTGGGTGCAGGTCTGTGGTGTCAGCCTCGAGAAGGTGCTCGAGTGGTGTCACTTACCCGTTTGGATGAGGGGGGAATCCAAACGACACAGTGAAGCGTAAGTGTTGCTGTTCCTGACAAGCAAAAGGTCACGCTGCATATGATTGTCTCTTCGTTCCCCCACCATGACAGACATACCTAGCGATTACAAAGAGAGAGGACCATATAACGATGCCCAGGGCCAGAAGAAGGTCTGCAAATTCAAACGCGAATGGCTGGAAAACTGTTCTGGAATAAATGATCCCACCTTTGGGTACAGGGATGGCAAACCATGCATCCTCGTCAAGCTCAACAGAATTATCGGCTTCAAACCTAAGGCAAGTATTCCCTTTCTAGCAGAGGCTACTGATGAGGAGGAGGAGTTGGCTGCAGACTTGCTGTGCGGGCTTTTCTGCCTCTGGAGAGAGATCAGTGTTAAACCCCTTCTGCAGAGGAGAAAGTGTGAGACGCTTTCAGTAACTGGCTTTAAAAATACTTTTCATTAAAAAGCAATGCAAACTGCACACCACAAGTTGGTAATGAGTAGCAGTGAATGTCACAGTGCAAACGCCTGGGTATTTATCTGGTAACTTCTGAGCCTTTTAACAGAATTACTCTAACAGGGTATTTTCTTCAAATGATAAAACCCATTTTAAGTTCCTGCGTGCTTCCATGGGGCCACCCCAGACCAACTGTATCTGTAGTAACATCAGTACATTGGGTCATGCCCTGAACTACTCCCTTCTTTCCTCAGGCAGTGTAGAGTTGCCTGCCTTGCTCAAACCACTTAATTAAATGAAGTAGTGCTAATATTCACTATCAGTCAGACTGATACGTAGGCTATAAAGCATAAACTACATCTGAGAGTCAGGCAGAGCTCTTACTGCAAGAGAGGCGAGGAGATCTTTAGGTTATTTAATACAGTTTCCCAGACGCTGTAGGATGTCTCTGTCACCCACTTGCTCTGTGCTGCACCTGAAGGCATGTGTGCAGTAATGCTGAAGGATGTTCATCTGCACAGGAACGGCTTTTACTTCTAGTATTTTCCCACAACAAATTTAAATGCTAAAAAATTCTCTACGAATTCAGTTGCAGAGCACATGTTAATGAATAAGGTGGGGTGCAAAACCTGCCGCTCCATCTTTGGGATGGAAGACGGTGCAAATGGTGTGCTAAGCTGCTTTCACCACCATCCATCAGTGCAGTCAAGGACGGGAATGGTGCTGTCTAGCTAATGTGTTTTGAGGAACGTTTTTCTTCGAAGGGAGCCTGCCCTGTGCTAAAAGAAATCAGTTGAATTTTGGCTCATCTGATCCAGGGTGGAAACGGTGGGTGCATTTGGGAGGGATGTGCTGGGCTTGGTATGTGGTGGCTGTGGGATGACGTAAGATGGGCAGGTTTGATGGCTGGGGAAGAGAAGGGTTTGGTGTGTTCCTCTTTTTTTTGCCACAGAGCTCTGAAGAGCTCCTGGCCACGTTAGACATCAGGGTCTGGTCAAGGAATGACTTTACACGTTCCACTTGGGAATGATGTGTATATCCAAGGCAGTATTTGTTTTCCTCATTCTGTGCTGCAGCAGAGCACTTGTGTTGGTCAAGGTGTGTGTGAAGCAGATCTAAGACCTGCAAGGTTGTGAAGCAAAACTACTGCACTTGTTAAGAGACCAAAGGCCAATGTCAGAGTTGGCACTCCCACCCTTCCCTGGCATACTCGGAACCTTTGTCCTTCCCTGTAGGTGGTGTCGAAGTTCAGCAACGTCAGGGTGTGACTGTCACTCGTTGTTCTTCCTTGTGTGTTTCCAGTCCTGGCTGTGCACACCCGGCGGGCAGGTGGCAAATCCTCCAGCCGTGCGTCTCTTCTGCCACTGCCTGGGCTTTGCACAAACAAGCCCTGCTAGCGAGTGCTCTGCCGTGAAACACTTTCCCCAGTGACACCACAAAATCAAAAATGGCCTGATGTGCTTGCCTTGGTACCCATGGCAGTGAAGCTGTAAGAACAAACGGTGCTCTCTGCTTGGGTTATGCTCCCCGGCTTCTAGTTGCTTTACTCTGTATGTCTGTCCCAAAAACCACCAGTGAGAGCTGCCTCTGAAACTGAGTCAGAAGGGGTTCAGGTTAACAGCACGTGTTTGGTACCACTGAGCTTTGCTGCTGCAGAGGTACTGCAGTCTGCACAGACCTGTCCGGTGTGTAACATCCCTCTGTTCTGGGTTTCTTCTAGGCTCCGGTAAATGAGAGCCTCCCTCCAGAGGTTATGGCAAAATACAACCCGTATCTCATCCCTGTGCACTGCACCGCCAAGGTGAGTGGAAATACAGTCGAGCAGAAGCGGGAAGCTGCAGGGGAAGACTCGTCTCGGTCTCTGTCCAAGTGTAGTGACCCCTCTCTGCCTTTCTGCAGACAGCTGGGGTGGTTCTTACTGGGGATATCTCCCCCTTTGGAACAGGAGTTTCTCAAAACCCCGTTGGTGACAAAGGACAGTCTGCGCTGCCCTCACAGGGAGGGGTAAAAGCAGGGGGGGGATAGCGAGGGGTATCCTCAGAAGCAGCTATTTTGTTTCCAGGTTCTGTACTGGAGCTCTTAGAAGGGATGGCTAAAAAAGGGACTTTGGGGGAAAAGTATTTTGCTTGGTGTTCTAAAGCAGCTAAGAAACAGCAAAAAAACCCCTTTTTTTTTTAAGCCAAAGATAGTACACTGGTAGGACAGGAACCTGTGGTGGTTTCTGAAGGTATAAAGAAGTGGTTGAGGTTTTTAAATAAAAAGCCCCTTTCCTGGCTGATGCATGCTGGGAGGTGCTTGTTGTGTAGCTGCTGGTTAGAGAGCACCGAAACGTCCTTACCACTGTGGGGACTGTCCTTGTGCTGTCAAGGTGAGGGTCGGGGATAATCAAAGAGAGGTGGTGGTCTTGGTGAAAAAACAGGTGCTGCCAGGGAAAAGGGCTGCAAAAGTAGAGTTTGGGTGATTGTCATCATTTCTTCTTCCTTTTCCTACCTCCCCAGAGAGAGGAGGATGCAGACAAAATAGGCACAGTGGAGTACTATGGGATGGGCGGCTACCCTGGCTTTGCCCTGCAGTACTACCCCTACTACGGCAAGCTCCTGCAGCCGCGGTACCTGCAGCCGCTGGTGGCTGTGCAGTTCACCAACCTGACCTACGACATGGAGGTGCGCGTGGAATGCAGGGCCTACGGGCAGAACATCCAGTACAGCGACAAAGACCGCTTCCAGGGACGCTTTGATATTAAATTTGACATAAAAAGCAGCTGATTGTAAGCACAACTCTCTTCCCCCCCCTCCTCCTCCTAGCCATTTAAAAAGGTTAAAAAAAAAAAAGAACAAAAAAGAAAACCTACTAGTCTTGAACAAACTGTCATACGTATGGGACCTACACGTAATCTATATGCTTTACACTAGCTTTCTGCATTACTAGGTTAGAATGTAAACAAAGTGTAGCAATAGCGACAAATATTTATTCTACTGTAAATGACAAAAGAAGACAAAATTGAGCCTTGGGACATGCCCATTTTTACTGTAAATTATGATTCCATAACTGACTTGTAGTAAGCAGTGTTTCTGGCCCCTAAGTATTGCTGCCTTGTGTATTTTATTTAGTGTACAGTACTATAGGTGCATACTCTGGTCATTTTTCAAGCCATGTATTGTATCTGTTTTCTACTTCTTGTGAGCAAAGACTTTTGCTGTCCAAGGTGTAAATACTCAATGGGACTAGAACTGGCATGATACTTCTCATTATTTTGTTCCTTTTCAAAGAAAGGCCCACCTGTGAGACTATATTTAACAGCACTCCATACGGCTTCTGACTTTTCTGTGGTGTTAGGGTATTTTATTTGGAGGGGTGGCAGGGGAAACTAACTTAACTGAAGTTAAAGAGAATAGATGATTGTGTACTGTGCTTTGTAGCGAATGCTGTCTCTCTCTCTCTCTTTCTCTCCACCTTTTTCCCTCATCCTCCAGTATGTTGTGTGAGAGACCGGGTCAGACTATCACTCTCCTCAGTGATAGGCATAACTCTTTGCTTTGTATATTTTCTTTTCTTTTTCTTTCTTTTTTTTTTTTTTCCTGCTGGAGGCATCGCACACTGTGGTGCTAATGTCTTTATTGAATGTTTTAACCATTTTCATGGTGGAAGAATTTTATATTTATGCAGTTGTACAATTTTATTTTTTCTGCAAGAAAGTGTAATGTATGAAATAAACCAAAGTCACATGTTTGAAAATAAATCTTTATTTTAAACTTTATAAAAGCAATGCAGTACCCCATAGAATGGTGTTAAATGTTGTCTAAAGTGCAAAACTCTATGTTCTAACATGTAATAATAGCCAGGAGTACAGTGCTCTTGTTGATCTTGTATTTCAGTCAGGTTGAAACATTGGACAAATAAATGAATGAACACACTGTTTTGTGTGCGCGTCTTTTGCTGTGGGTGAGGCCGGAGGCTGTTAGTTGTCCAGAATCTTGAAGAAGTACTGCACCTATTTCAAACAGAAAATACATCTTCATCATTCCCCAGAAGGTCTGAGCTGAAACACAGCTGCTCCCACCTGTGAGCAAATCTGTCACACCAGTTTGGACCATTGTGCTTTGGTATTACTTGTTTCTCCCCCTCCCTGAGCTGAGCCCTGGCTGCATTAGAAGCTGCTGTGGCACACGTGCTCCTGATCGCACCTCAGGAATCTGAAAAGTCTTCAGTATGTTTACCACTATTGCACCTTTTTCACCTCCACAGCTACAGGCCATGTGTTCTAGCAGCAACTGCAGGTAAAAATGGTTTACCCTCAGTGCAGGTTAAAGCACCGACCAGCAACAGTACATGCTGCAGGTCCAGGGGCAGGGAAGTCACGCTGAAGTCACAAGGAAAAGAAATGGAGGTTTAGGACAGTGACTTCCAAGTGTGTGTTTCTGCTGGGCCACTGGCTTGGCCCTGAGACCAGGCGATGCCTGACGGGGCTGCTCAGACACGGCAACACAGGGCAGCTGCTTCCTGCAGGCGTCAAGATCACGTTATGCTGCACGACGCAGATTAACGGGGAGAATTTCTCTGTGCAAAGTGACAAAACATGACTATCCTGGAGCAAGCTGCTTGATAAAGCCTTCCTAACCGGAACGCACGATACTGGAAAAGCAAGCTGCTAAGCTTTCTGCCATCTGCTAGAAGGAAAAGCATAGTTAGGGTACGCTATGGGGGCTGGTGTATGCATTTGGCTGCTCCACACTATCCCCAGGGAGGAGGAGCTAGTGGAAGGTAGGCTTAACTGCCACTACACTGCAGTTCTTAGGGGCACAGCCTGTGAAAGTTAAAAAAACAAACCAACAAACAAAACCCAACACAACAACAACAAAAAAAAATCCCCAAACTGCTTTATTTATAAACGAACCGATGCCTAGTTAGATAATTTATCACCTTTTAATTTACTATATGAGTGCAAAGTCCAGGTATGCACTGGTAATAAAGATAATGGCTTATTCCAAGGATTGGGACAAACACTCTAGAAAGCTTGTGGTGGCTTCAGTGAGCAAGTGTCAAAAGTGGCTGGTATCACATACTCAGCATATGAAATAAAGCAAAACCAAACCTTCCTCCCCCCATCCCCCCCTCCCGTCCCCATCACTTTCTAGCACCGAATCAGTGAAAGCAGGGTGGCCCGCTCTGATCACTAATTAACTAGGCAGTAAGGCAGTAGCTACCCCAGCTGCACACCCTGCAGCCACCCACTGAAAAGCTCCCCCCCCCATCACAGGCCTCATTACAGCTCTATTACCAAAGGGCTGCATCCCACCCCACCCCCCCAAAAAAAACCCCACAACCCACCTGGCGAGGCACACCCCCTCCCATTAGAAATGCTGCTGTAATTTGTCAGACCAAGTAGAGACAGAGCATTAAATGACTGCAGGAGGTTAAAAAAGAAAAACACACACAAAAAACCAACCCCACAAAAAAACCCAACCCCACATCCTCCCCTGCACAATGCTGCACCAAAACTTTTGGTACACAGCAGCATTGATACTAAAAATGGCCTTTCACTACATGCTGCTGATGGAGCCTTGCTTGTCCTAAGTAGCTAGTCAAAGCCCTGGAGGGGCGGGGGAGTCAGCTATTTTTTTTTTTTTTTTTTTAAGCTCTGTGTTGTATTGCCTATTCTCAGGAAGGTATCACTTTCCTTATTGCCTAATAGGACACTACATTATAAACTGCCAGTTTGAACATGTTGGTCTTTCTGCCAGATGATTGGCTCAACATAGGTAAGTATAATTGCAGCCATTAAAGTGAATTTTTTCTCCCTTCTTGTTGATATAGGACACCTGGATGTCAGAGTTAGAGAGACACACAAAAATACGAATAAACTAAAAAGCAGAGAGAGAGACAAACACACACATTTGAGGGCAAGAACTGTTGGCTGTGTCTGCACTAACCCTTGCACTAACACACCCCAGCTACCAGTTTTACAGCTCCAAGCGCTGGCACTTCTGGGCTTCTCTTCCCAGTTTGGCCGAGGGCGGCTGGCCAGCGTGGGCCAGGCACGACCCTCGGAGTGTGCGGGGAGCTGTGCCAAGAGCAAAGAAAAAGGCCAAGGGCAGCACAGTCTGCTCCTTTGCAGATAACGCCTCTGGGTTCAGCCCCAGCCTGGGGTCCCGATGGACCTGCTGCCGCCGCAGGCCCCCTTCCCCTGATTCGGGGCAGGTTCTGTAGAGCTGCCTCGACTCCCACTGCTCCCTGGGGGGTCAGTAATGATCCGTCCCTGCAGCACCCACTGACACAGGTGAATGCTGTCCTTGCCCAACTCCTGCTCACCTACTATTAGCAACAAAAGGCATTGCGCTATTCCAGTCCTTAAAAGCGCCTGATTTTGTGCAACCAATTTTCCCAGGCCAGGCTGAACAACCTCAGCTTACTTCCAACCTACGGAAAACATCTTCCTCCTCAATTAGCTTTTATTGGATTGTTAAAGATCCACACAGACTGTACTGGCAAGGCTCGGACATCACAACAAGCACACTATGTATTGCATAACGTCCAAAACTAGGTGCTGGTATGTTCTCTTCATATGTAATTATCTTTATGTGGGTCAGCTGCCACCCAGCTCCCAGTAAAACCAGTTAAGAGCTGGCATGTTCTTAAATGATGCTTCTCTCCAGGAGCCTCACCCTCAGGAGCACAGCAGTGCTAGACAAGAAACACCAGACATAAGGGCCATTCCGTTACCCTGCTCACATGACAACACACACGGTGTTTTGCAGAAGAACCAAGACCAAGGATTTCAGCACTACCAAGAAATTTGGGGTGCCTCCATCTTATGAGACCCTGGCTGGGGACAGCTTGAAGAACCCCAGGTCCTTTTCCAAGGGGATCCAGGACTGGGAGGTACTCGCACCGAGCATCCAGATGGGGGTCAGGTACTCCAAAGCACTCTGTATTTTAGGAAATACAGTTACTCTCTTTCCCAGGGTCAGAGTATAGTACAAACCACGGAATAGGGAGCTGTGCCTGTACAAAACCTCTCAGCAAGGCTCACATTTGACCTAGGGCAAGGTCAGCTTCTCTGAGCCAAGCACACCTCTGATCTCTTTACAGGACCCAAAGGTGGCAGATGACAAACCCACTGCAGGAACTAATGTGAAACCAACCAAACACATTTCACAGATGCCACACAAATGCCCTTCAAATCATGCGAACATTCAGGTGTACTCCTTCCCAGGGATGAAACAGGATTAAATTTCACATCAGTTCTCTCCTTACACATACCAGCAACCATCTACCTGCTTTATAACACGCACCTATGCCCGCTCTAGCACCTGTTCAGGGACAAATAATAATAGTGCCCAGGAATTAACAACGGGTGAATAACTGTGACCTTCTGGCTCTGACCCTATAAACTGCTTCACTGAGGAGGACCTGAGAGCTGCTTCAGTTCCATGAAGTTCCAGGAACATGCATGCTCTCTACAAAACTCCCATCAATGAAGTTGGCTGCTCCCTCTGGGCTCTTCCACAGGTTACTGAAAAGTTTCAGGAATTAATACAGCAGGCAATAACAAAATCCAGTCTAATGCCCTGGCTGAGCGCAAACGATTATCATCTGAACAGTGTGTGCCCTAAGGGCATGGAGAGGCCAGCAAAAATAAAAAAAAAAATAAAAAAAAGAAGGAAACAAATTGAGTGAGGCAGCCAGTCTTCCAAGGGAGAGCAAAAGATCTTGGAAATAACACAGGACCCAGCGCAGGCACAAAGTGTCCTGAAGACTGCAAGTGTAAGAATTACAGACACCTACATCTTAATTCTTCTTTTGCCTAGAAAACAAAGCAAAAGCAGTGCTGATGAGAGGTGCCAGCCGAGCAGCTCTGGAGCTAGAGCTTTTGGTCTACGTAAGGACAGACCAAGGTACACCTTGAACGGTACCAGCGTATCATACAGGCAGCATTCCTTACATCTCACCTCAAAGAAAACCCCAGCACTGAAAGGGTACCTCAGCATTCATGGTCCATTCCCCTCACTCCCTTGGGCTGGCAGTTTTTGATAAGAGACCCTGTTCATATCATTCATGGCAGAAGCAAGGGGGCTGGGGAGGAGACATACTAGTAGGAAATATGCTGAGATCACAGATTCACTTCTCATCCATCACCAGAAAGATGACGGCAATTTCAGTCTGTCTTCAGCTCTGCCGAATCAAAATTGGCAGCCGGGAGATGAAAAGCTTTTTCATCCCTGTGTTCATTTAGAACTTGTCAGTCATCTCAGTGCCTTTCATGCAACTGCACAGATAACTCACCAGTACCCTCTCCCCAAAACCACCACAAAACTGTATCTCCTTGGTTCAGTGTAGGTATCCAGGCACATGATCCAGAGAGTTTTTGCTGACCTAAAGCTTCAGCATCAGTACACTCTCCCTAAACACTTAGGTGTTATAATTTTTTACAGGTTGTCTCAGTTTGAGGTTACCAGTAGGAACCAAAAATCTCTCTTTGCCCATTAATGTGGGTTTGTACATCAGCATGAACCTGTCATCTCTGTTAGCAAGTGCACTTGCCAGCACCTAAAATACATTTCAGCTACAGTTCACTCAGCTGACTCACAGGACTAAGTCATTAGATTAACACACCGAAACCCCATGGATTCACAACCATCCTTCCAGCCACAAGCAGTCCAGAAATAAAAATGGTTGTCAAAGAAGAAGGTCTACCCACTCACTGTATTATTTGTTCTGAAAAGAAAGAATTATTTTCCCACGTGAACCTGAAGAGGGTTTAGTCCCAGGAAGTTTGTTCAAAAAAAAAGGAAAGTTAGTCACTCCTGCCTCTTTCTCAAGCGTCACGCACTGTAAGAAATAAAGCCGGTCAGGCTGCCCAAGGCAGAACAATTTGTACACATGCACTTCAACTGTCCAAGTTAATTTCCTAAGTACAGCTGGGACAAAAACCCCTATGCGCCAAAAAATAAAACTTCGCAACGGAAGGTTTTATTAAAGAAACACTACAGG